TCCCCTCCTGGCTCGGCTCTCCCCCCAGCCGCAGCAACCCGGCCTGCCCCTTCTCCACACCCCCAGACCGCTTGGGTGAGGTGGGACCAGGTCAGCCTCCAGCGCCCCGGGCCTGGGGCCCCTGCCCGGCCCGGCCCCTGCGAGGTCCCCCCTGCCCGCCCGAGCCTGGGGGAGATGCTGTGTGGAGGCCCCTGGTGCCCGGCACGGAGCCTGCGTTTGGTGCGAGTGACGGGGCGTTCGTGGTGCTCCGTGGGGTCTGGAGCTGCTGTCAGCCTGCTGGGCACCATGTGAGGAGCTGCAGCCAAGGAGGTGCAGCTTCGGCCTTGGCTACCTGTAGAAGACGACGTTGCTGCTGATGGAAACTGCCTGTACTGCAGCGTCACAGCGTGAGATGTTTCAACGGTGTGACCCAGGGGCATCGTAGCAACATCAAACAGGTTCGGTGCTTGACACCAGTGCTGAGCTTCTGCTGCTCTCTGATGGAGAAACTCTTCTGAACTCCAGTGTTTGCTGGAATCATGTTGCTCCAGGGGCCAGAGTCGCTCTCCCATCCTGTGACCCGTGGCAGTGAACTGACTGCTGCAGTACCAGGCTGCAGCAGATAAACAGCACTGCCTCAGCCACTCCACTCCTCTTCTGCAAAAGCAGACCACTCTTGGCCAGAGAAATTTCTACAGAGTTTTCCTCACTAGTTGTCCAGAAAGGGGGTGGCTGTGCAGATCAGACTTTGAGAAAGTCAGTATCTGAGTATGGCTGGGAATAGAGCTTGTTGGTGCCCCACATTCCCTCCAGTGGGCAGAGTCTACCAGGCCTAACGCAGACCCACAACCATTCCCCTTCAGTGAAGGACTCGGCAGTCAAATGAAGCAAAGTCAAACTGCACTGTGAGCAGTGGGACGCCTTGCTGGAACAGTTGGAGAGAGCAGAATGAATGTCTATTCTTAGGGAGTCATTTTTATATTGGTAATTGAAAACTCTCTGCTCAGTTCAGCACATCAGTCTCCTAAATTACTCAATATATTTTCAGAACAGCCTGCAAAGCTTGAAAGAAACCATAGCAGATGCTTACAGCCCTGTTTTTCCTGCCTAGCTCAAACTCATCCTAGCAAAATAGGCTCTGCACCACAGTCATTGGAAGGTAACCTTGGGGACCCATCACAGAGAAGAAATGAGAGCTATGCAGCTCACAACCTCCCCTCCAGGTGAGCCATTAGAAAGGAAATCAGAACATGAATTCTTATAGGTTTGGAAAGACCCATGCATTGCTTTTTCTGAGGCTTCCATGGAGGAGAAGCAGGAAAGCAGACCGTGAGCAGTAGGCAGGGAGAGAGGCCACAGTACAGTCTGCAGCTCCTTTCCTGCAACTGTCAGAAGTGTCTGATCAGAGTGTCTGATTACAAAAGGTGAAAAACAAGAGACAGCTGTTTGTGGTAGAACAGCAGTAATCAATCGCTGCTGCTGCTATTCCAGAGGGCAGGATCTTCCCGTGAATTGCTGGGATTTCTCCTCAACAAGCCAATAGAAAGCAGTGTAATTGTTAGGCAGTGGCTGCTAGGCTTGCAGTTCTTCTGGCTATGGCATGGCTCTTGAGGAAGGGGACCCTATGTCAGGAGCAGGAGTGAAACAGAACCCTTGCACAAACCTCTCTGGTGGGTGGGACAACAGGTCATCACCAGGAAAAGGCATTGCCACTTAACACAATCTGAAAAGTAGAGAGCATCAGGAATGCAGACCTGAAGCATGATGCACAGCCCATCCCTGTGAGCCAGACCCCACTCCTGGGGAGCAGTGGAACAAGCCCATTGAAGGTGGTGGCATTGTCCAGCCAGCCCTGCAAGCACAGCACAGGGTAGCCCCCTCATGGTCTCCTAGCATGGGCTGCCACATGTTCCTGGCACACAGGGAACTTCACCTCTGAGGACTTGTACCCACAAGCAACAATCTCTGAGTGCTTTGTGCTGAGAGCTGGTCCCAGGAAGCTTTCTAACAGCCAAGAGCTCTGGACAGAGCTTGTAGGTAGGTAGTAGTTCATAGAATCATAGGGGTTGGAAGGGACCTCGAAAGATCATCTAGTCCAACCTCCCTGCCAGAGCAGGATCACCTAGACCACATCACACAGGAACGTGTCCAGGCAGGTTTTGAATGTCTCCAGTGAAGAAGACTCCACAACCTCTCTGGGCAGCCTGTTCCAGGGCTCTGTCACTCTCACAGTAAAGTTTTTTCTGATATTCATGCTCCAGTTTGCACCTATTGCTGCAGCAGGAACACCTAAGGCAGATCACACAGGTACACATTCACACAGGAACACATTCAGATGGGTCTTTAAAGTCTCCCGAGAAGGAGACTCCACAACGTCTCTGGGCAATCTCTTAGAGTGCTGCCACCCTCACAGTAAGAAGTTTTTCCTCATGTTGAGGTAGAATTTCCTGTGTTGTAACTTGGTGCTATTTCCCCTCATCCTATCACAAGGCACCACTGAAAAGAGACTGGCCCATTCTTGACATCCACCCTTCAGATATCTGTAGACATCTAGCAGTGCTGACCTCTACCTAATACCATTTTTCAGACATAAACCTTGTTTGGGATAGCCCTGGGAAACTGATGCAAATACTTGCCCTGGTGGTATGTGCGTCACGACTCACAGATCTTGGATTCTCTCTCCCACTACCTTGGGCCCTCTACCCCGCTCCAGCAGCCAGCAGGATCTGGACTCTCTTTGCTTTGGGACTTAGGTGGGAAGTATGTGTTCTGTAATTAAGTCTTAACTCCTGTGACTTGCATTCCAAGTCACTTCAGGTAGTCACTTCCGCTCCATCAGCAGGCACCTCATGAGAAAGGAAAAAGTCCTCACAGAAATCATCTGCAATAAGTGATTTGGGTAGAGCTCCAAATGGGGAAGGTTGCACTGGGAGGCAGCCCTGGACCCTCCCTCAACAGCAGAACTGTCATCCTGTTAGCCAAGCCAGACTGGTGAGATCTTCTCCAGATCCCTCATGTCTTCTCTAGCAATGCTACTTACCCCTTTGAAAGAGCAGCCCAGTATCATACAAGACTGCATGTCATCCACTGCACTGCCTGGCAAACCACCCTCCAGGAAGAGGGTCCTAGTTGGGATGCATGGCAAAACTTGAATGGCTCATAAAAATACCTCTGTTGCATCAACTTCTAAGAAGTGCTGCAGGCTACTGCAATGGCATTGCTGCCTGCAGAGGACCAAATTAGACTCCCCCTGGCAAGGTGCTGGGCTGGGGGTAAAAAAGGCTGGTTTTGCTTAAGAAGCATTTGAGGTATCCCATGTAGTTAGCAAAGGATAATTTAACTTCCCGTGTCCTTGCAAAGGAGGAGGAGAGTTGCAAGGGTGAACATCGAGACATGCAAAGCTGTCATGCTCCGCTGACTTGGAACAGCATTGATCAGTTTGTGCTAGCTGCAGATCTGGTGAGGAAACTTTAAGTACAGCAGATTGATTGCTACCAAGGGA